AGTTTTATATTAATAATAAATGTTTAAATAGTTACTCTAATAAATTGAACAACTATTTTATAAGATGTTGAAAATTAATAAGACGAGAGAATAAACAATAAATTGCAGACAGTCTTTCACGAGCAGACTCTGAGATTAGATCCAAAACCCACTCACACAGTTACTGTGCGTACCTTCATGTGTGTGTGTATATATATATAACACAACTTTCTTTATTTATCTATTCTATCTATCCTCTTCTCTCTGGAACACACTCTTTAGCTGTTCATTCTCTCTCAAATCGGGCCCAAAAGCCGCGTGAGAAAATTGGGAATTTTGTTCTTGAGTGTGTGTGTGTGTGTGTGTGGAGAAAAATCTCGGTCTGGAGAAAAATTCATGAAAACCCGCAGCAGATTAGGCTGGAATTCAGGATTCTAATTTCTAGTTTTTTTGATTCATTCGGTGAGTTTCGCGTATTTCAAGGTAAGACATTGAAAATGGAGATGCTCTCATCCAAAAAGATCGTTTTTTTTTTTTTTTGGGTATTCATTTCTGGGTGCCCTTTATTTTATCGGGTTGATCGAAGCAAGCTGAATCGCAGTTGCAGCTCGGCTTGCTTATCATTAGTTTCGTGGTGATTGAGGCAAGGACTTGTCTGTAGAACTTGTTATCTGAAAATTTGTTTATGTTAGGACGTGAGAGATGTATATATCCACTTTATATAATTTCTCGTTATCGATTTTTCGAAAATGGGTTTAGATTTTTCTGATTCTGCTTTTACTTGGAGATGTCACATGTATTATACTGTGAAAAGGCATAATAAAAGTTCTTTCATCGATATTGTTTTAAAAGTTGCTTTCTTTATATCATAGGATCTGAGGTTGCATTTACTTTGGTTTGGGATGTGTATGAGATTTGTGGAACAGATCTGATTCAGGGGCCCGTGTTACCTTGTTTATCACCACCCCCACCCTTTCTGTTTCTTTTTATAAGGGATTCATTGATTATCGTCTTTATGTTGCTCTGTTTCAGTTTGGGTCTTAGGTTCTCTTATAATTATTCCTGTTTTGGGGTTTATTAGGTAGTGAAAATGTCGAGACCTCTTCATCGAGGTGTGTCGGGCGGCGGCAGTCGATTTTCAGGCAACAGTCAAGATTTTTGGGAGGATTCTCAGATGAAAGAGAAGTCAGAGAAGGAAGATATCGATCGTAATCGTGCAAATGGAGCTGATCATCCACACTTATCTTTTAGATTTCCATTTCGGTTTCTATTTGCAGATTGTTTATCTTCAAAGAATGGTTTGAGTGAGAACGGTTTTATGTCCGACCCCTTTAGCCCCGTGCCCCACAGAAGCCGCCATAAACTGACGCTCTCTCTGCTCAAAATCAGTTTAGTTGCGATTGTATTTCTTGCTTTAACGGGCTCATTCTGGTGGACACTGTCCGTGACTTCCGTATCAAGAGGACAGATTTATCACGGATACAGGCGACTTCAACAGCAGCTGGTATCAGACCTTCACGAAATTGGGGAGCTCACGATTGGTTCCTCGAGGTTTAGGGAACTGAACTTCTGTTCTCAGGAGTCTGAAAACCATGTGCCATGCTTCAATGTTTCTGAAAATCTGGCCTCGGGACTTTCTGATGGTGAGGAGTATGGTCGGCACTGTGGGCTGGGTTCGAGAAGTAATTGCTTGGTGATGCCACCTGTCAATTATAGAATTCCTCTTCGGTGGCCTGCTGGGAGGGATGTTATATGGTTTGCCAATGTTAATATTACGGCTCAGGAGGTGCTGTCATCGGGAAGCTTGACCAAGAGGTGAGTGGACAGTTTTTGTTTTACTATTCAAACAGAAA